ATTATCATTATCATTATCATTATGATTATCATTATCATTATCATTATCATTATGATTATCTTTATCATTATCATTATCATTATCTTTATCATTATCATTATCATTATCATTATCATTATTATTATTATATTATTCACAATTCCTAAGTATTCTGATTTTCTCCTCAATGACATGGTTCATTCACTGACTAGCACAGTAGCATCTCATCATCATTGTTTTTATTTTGCCTAGATGTTTTTGGTAGTGACCCGGTTCTCAAAAATTTTTGAACTATTTTATGTAAAGATGACTGCGCCACATGCACACTTGGGTATTTTTCATTGAAATCTTGAATTACTTGGCGATAACTGTTATCACCCTTACCGTAGCACTGTATTAGATATATTTTTTGCTGTAAAGTTAGCATATATGCGATAATTAATGTTGGGGGTTTTTAATGAATTGCAGTGACACAAGTGTCAACGTTCTATTTGAAATAAAAAGTTTTCCTCTTATTCACCTTAACCGCGGATATAAATTTGTAAATAATCAAAGTAGGCCAATTACGTGACATTTTCAGATTTTTTTTTATTTTCTTAACACCCTATACATGAAATGTTAAGTTTCACCACGGCATGGACCATGCTCTGTCAGTGAACCCCAGGAAGACTGAAATGGTCCTTTTCACGAAGAAGAGAAAATTGGGGCCAACAAAGGAACCAACTTTCCTAAACACTACGCTAAGCTTTGCATCTGATGTGAAATACCTAGGGGTTACACTCGATGCAAAGCTAACATGGAATCTTCACTTTGAGAGAAGATTAAAAAAGGCGTACATATCCTATGAGTAGTGCCGCAGAACCGTTAGCAAAACCTGGGGCATGAAACCAAATGTGGTTATGTGAATATACACTGCCATAGTGAGACCAATGTTGGTCTATGGGGCTGTCGTCTGGTGGCCGAAATCCCAGCAGACGACAGCTAAACAAAAGCTCAGCCAAGTACAAAGGGTTGCCTGTCTGAGCATAACTGCAGCTATGCGTACAACACCTACCATAGCAATGGAGATAATGCTGTGTCTGGCACCTCTGGATATCTATCTAAGAGAAATGGCTTTGACAACCATGCTTCGCCTCGAGAACATTGGCTTAAAACCGGTTGTAGGACGTGGAGAAGTCAGAAGTCGCCTGTGGAATGAGGTCGTCAGGAAGACGCCCCTCCTGCAGGCAGACACTGACAGTATTTCTCCCCGGTTTGCATTTGACAAACCCTATACCGTACTCATTAAGAGACAGAAGGAGACCGCCCATGGAGATGTAATTAGCATCTTCACAGACGGATCAAAAAGGAAGGAGGATGTGGAATATACTCTAGATCCCTGCACATCCGATATCAGTGGGCAATGGTTAGGCATGCTACCGTTGTACAAACGGAGTTAGCAGGCATAACCACAGCCGTGAAGGAAATTGCCCACAGACATACTATTGGCAAAACCATCAGAATCTACACGGATAGTAGACAAGCACTACTGACCTTGCGTAATCATAAGATAATGACTAGGACAGTATGGGAATGCCATGAAGCACTGGTTGTGGCCTCGGCCACTAACAGCATATCTGTATGCTGGGTAACGGGACACGAGCAGTGCTATGGCAATAAAGAAGCTGACAAGCTAGCCAGGAGCGCATCGGGCCTCAACATTTTTGGACCCACCCCCTCCAGTGTGCTTCCGTTGTCGGCACTTGTTGGAATTATCAAGGAAGACACCCACAAAGAATTTATGAAACAGTGGGATGAAACAATCAGCTGTCACTTTGCTAAGGAGTTCTTAGTGTATCCTAGCAAAGACACAGCCAAAAAATACCTGGCTATGTCTAGGTCAAATCTTCGCCTGGTGACAGGTATTCAAACTGGACACTGTTGGCTAAGGAAACACCTTTACAATATGGGGAAGTGTGAAACACCTCTTTGTAGGGGCTGTGAACAGGAAGAGGAGACGGTGTTGCATTTACTATGTGAATGCACTGCCGTCTCGTCAACAAGAGAGTCCATGTTGGGAGAACGCTGGCCTTCAATGGCCTATATCAGAGAGACCCCCCTGAGCAACGTCACCACCTTTTTCACTGTAATAGGCTGGTTGGCGGCTCATGTGGATTGATCTCTCTAATGGGAGGATGTACAAGGGGCCCGTAGCTTTGCTACCCTCCCCACAATTCCAGATTCACCACGGCAACCTCATTTTAAATTCAAGTAAAACTTTTTATCAAGTGTGCATTTCTTCCGTTAAATGTAAAATAAAAAAGTTTTTCCTCTTATTCACCCCAACTGCAAACGTAAATATTTGTAAATAATCAAAGTAGGCCAATTTTTCTACAAATTGGAATTCTGTCATATCTTTTAATTTGGAACTTTTCCTAATGACACTTTTCAGAAATATTAAAAATAAAGGTAGTTTACTCTTGTTACATTTTCAGATTTTTTTATTTTCTGGACACCCCGTACATGAAATGTTAAGTTTCACCACGGCAACCTCATTTCAAATTCAAGCAAAATTTTTTATCATGTGTGCCTTTTTTCGCAAAATGTAAAATATAAAAGTTTTTCCTCTTATTCACCCTAACCGCGGACATACTGTATGTGTAATTTTAAAGATATTTAATTTCAGTAGTTTTTTTTTTTTAAATATGACTGATGGCTTTAATTAATATCAACACAATTACGTGCATTCCAGTAAGTTTAAATCTCAATGTTTTATAAAGACGACATCTAAAATTTGAAAATCTCCAATTTCCTCTATAAATCATTTGTTGATACAAGGAAAAATAAAACGGCAAAATAAAAGGTTTAATTTATATTATCAAATAAAAAATGTAAACTATTATTTATTAGGATTACAAAAAACAAATCTAAAGATAAAGCCCTTCGGGTGTGCCTTCTTTCTTTCGATAAAGCACACTTTCTTTCGACTTCTTAAAATCTTCATTCATAACCTTCATTCTTCTCTCTCTCAATGCCATAAGACCGGCCTCTGTACAGATTGCCTAAAAAACGGTGGATTTCAATCAACATAAACTTGAGACAAGTAAACTTTAAAATTAGGTTAAAACCATTTATGATCTAAACAAAACAAGCAAATTACAGCAGTGTAAATTCAGATTTAAATAATATATTTTTTACAAAAATACTACCTTAATATCGGCACCAGATAAGTCATCTTTCGCCATAATAAGCTCCTGTAAATTTACATCTTCGGCTAAGGTCATTCTAGATGTATGAATGTTGAAGATACGCTTCTTTGTTTTTTCATCTGGTAACGGGAATTCAATTTTTCTGTCGATACGCCCAGGCCGAATTAAAGCAGGATCCAGTGTTTCAATACGATTTGTCGCCATAATAACCTACATGAATATTTAAAATATTATTTAAACAATACATCTACGAAGTAAGTAATTTTGATTGCAAGTGATAATCAGACATTTGCAGAGTAATTTCGTGAATCTGTGCAAAATAACAATTGGTTCACTATTTTTATTTTACTTGCTCGGTATATAAATACCGGATGTTAAGCATCTTAATAAGCGCAGAATAGTGTTAATTTTGAACAACACACAGCAATTATGTAATAATGAAATATACAGGGTATCCCAGAAGATGTGGGCAATCTCTTGGATTTATATAGGGTTAAAATAACATGAGGTCCTATAAAAATTTTCTCTAGAGGGACCCCCTATGGAGATCCATACAGGCCTCTAAAGGACACCCCTGAAAATATATTTTTTTAAATAACTTTTAAAATACTTTGCGTAATTTATTATTTTTAGGAAACAACAAATGTACATAAAAATGGCATTTTTTTAGATGGGCACAGAAAGACTACAAATTTCACCGGTTTATTTCTCTTTACGACTGTAATAAAAATCATATTAAACAAAAAACAGTTTTTTCTCAAAAACTTTTCTCGAGTTTTTTTCTCATTTTATCAATATCAGTGCCTTTTTTAGTTTAAGGGTCTAAAAAGAATATTTTTGTGCCTTTACTGTAAAGGGTGTAAAAAAATGACACTATTGTACTACAATTAGTCCGTCCCTGGCAAACCAAATAAGCTAAATTTTTTTCATGGGTCAATTTTTAAGGAGTCTTATCTGTTGTCCATCATATTAAAAAATAACTCAATTACACAAAGTATTTAAAGTTATTAAAAAAACTGATTTTCAGGGGCGCTCTTTAGGGGTCTGTCCCCATAGAGGGCCCATGTTATTTTAACGTCCTCTGTATAAATCCGAGAGATTGCCCTCATATCCTGGGACACCCTGTACACAATTACATATTATTTGCTTTACTTTTTATTGATTTATTTAGGTAGACTTCATAAATTTAGTTTTGCCTAACCTGAAATATGTATCTTAAACTGAGAAAGTAGATAATATAGTCCAATCAATCTGTCACGACCTTATGTTAAATTTACAAAATATACCACCTGGAAACAAAAAATATGGTGATATAGGAAAAAAAATTCTAAGATAGTGTATTTTTCCTGTGGCGCATAAACGGCGAAGTTGACCTAAAAAATTCATGTCAAAAAAACGGTTTTTCGCTAATAAAAAAAAACTTGAACTCCAATCGAAAAAGTTAAATGAGAAAGTTGTAGCTATTAAAAAAACCTCTCTTCTACCTATTGATTGGACTAATAATTCATGACTACACAATACTCAATCAAATAAGAAGAATAACTGAAAATGTCATAAACCAATCTAATTTTAGTCATTTAACAAAATACCTGAAAATTTGTACTAAATCCTATTTTATTGTTACTGAAAGTACAGAGTCTCCATAAATAATTACAAGCCACGTGACCAGTAATTTTTTTTGGAACAATTATTTTATTTCCTTCAGGTTGACAATTAAATTTCAGTAAAATTATTAAAATGATAATATTAATTTACACTAAAACATAACAGTTTGTTTCAGCGGCTTTTTCATAAAATTCTATTCGACAAATCAGCAATCACATTATCTCAAGTATAGATGTAACAGTTTGTCATTGTTCATTGTAAACGAATCATTAATATTGATGATGCTAAAATTTAGTGATGGTACCAGTCATATTGGTTGCCTAAGCTCGGCGATTACGTGGCTTGTAAACATTTATGAAGGCTCTGTTTATTATTTTTATTGGGCACTTATACCGGTAGATGTAACTTTCCAAAAGATCGAAGTACTTAAAATAATTGGGAGTTAAAATTGGCCATTTAATTTAGTATTCCTGATAATAACAAAGATTGTAACATCTATTACATTAATTTATTCATTCTTATAAGGAAAAACTTAATTTTGTATTTGATTATCTTTGATTTTTTTGGTGATATTTTTAAATTGTGATTCTGCTGAAGAATGAGCTTGGCTGTTCACCAGATATTGCAGATGTAATCAATACTGGACGGGGGTACGTAGATAGCAATGTAGTTGCTTCCTAAGAAATTATAATTTATAAATTCTTTAACTGCTTCGGACTCATGTCAGATGCTAGCTAAACTTGCAGAATCATTAGGAGTTGATCACACAATAGTTTCCACATGTTTGAAATTATTAAGGATGATTCAAAAGCAAGGACATTGGGTTTCTGTATATGTGAACAGCTGTTTCAACAGCAGAAAATGAAAGGTTTTTACATCATTTTCATGATTAGTGATGAAAAATAGATACGCTACGATAATCCTAAGCACAGAAAATCATCAAGCTTTTGCTGTGCATTTAGTGGGAGCTTTGAAGGGAAAACGATCGCTATACGAGCCGAGACACGATAAAGTCATTTTGCAACATGACAATGCTCATGTAGCAAAACCTATTTGGAAACGCTTAAATGGGAAGTCCTACCCCACTCGCTACATTCACCAGATATTGTCCCTTCTGATCGCTTATTCTGATCGATGCACATGGTCTGGTTCAGCAGCACTTCCATTCTTATGAAGATATCAAAGCATGGGACGACGTTTGGATAGCCTCAAAAGATGTGTCGTTTTCCTGAGGTGGAATTAAAATGCTGCCAGAAAGATGGGAGAAAGTATTGGCTACCGATGAATAGGACCGTCAGTGACGTTTTTTACTAATTTTTTTAAATAAAGCATTAATTTTCACAAAAACAACACCCCATTATTTTAATTAGGTTTATCAGGTATGTTTAAAGTCAAATGAGAGTTTCTGTAGGTTCGCTAGTGACTAAAGTAGTAAGCCTTTCGATTTGGCAACATTGCATGTTGCTGGCGCGCTCGGCTCGCACATTTGCGAAGAAGAATTATTATATATTATGTATCTTACAAGTATCTAATCGATTTCTACGAGCTATCATATGGTTTCTTAGATATCCATTTTCCTATTTATACAAGTTGCTGTGGAAACTGTTTGTCAATTATTGCGTATTCTAAAAGTGGAAAGACCAAAAAAATCTGCATTCTCATAAGACTTCGTACTAAATCGTGAAAAATTATTTTATTAATATCTCGTCTTTAAGCTATTCAAATTAATGTTCATAATTTTTCTTTAAGAATTTTCCTCATATTAATAAGCTTATATTAATTTTTTTATGAATATTTGTTTGTCAATTCCATATCAGATAAACCTTAAACAAATAAGCCAACAAAATGAAGCATATTCCGTAATTGAAACTACTATACAGGGTGTCTCATAATTAGCTGCCAATCCTGAACAGGCCGATTCTATGATCAAAACTAAGTAAAAAAGTTAATATGAACATGGGTCAGGAAATGCTTCCTAAGGGCACAGGGACCCATTGAAGAGGGAGGAATGGAAATCATTTTTTTGCCTTAATCGCGTTGTGATAAATGAATGAAATTTAGTATACACAGCTAAATTTTGATGAGCAATTTGATGGATTAATCCATTTATTTACACAAGGTCCATTGGGGTGGGTACGAGGGGGCCCTTGGTACTTTGCGTGTGTAACTTTTTCATCTTTGACTTTTTAACAAATTGGACAGCAAATTCCGTTTTCCCGAACTGTTTTACGTTAAAAAGGTACTCTTGTTTCAAATCGTTATCTTTAACGGTTTCTGAGAAAATCGCTCTTGAATTAATCCCACTTTGGTCAATTTCATAGTAATTTAAACAAAAAATAATAATAATAATTTAATACGTAATCAGTAATACACATTATTGATGTAGAACAATTATGATATGATGATTTGTTTATGGCTTTTGCGATGGTAATGCTGCGCGGCAGAACGCGAGTACGGCAGAAGGTTTCCAAACAGAAGGCTGACATCAAGGAGGACATTCCTCACTGTATTCCGCAATTTAGCTGCAACCGTCACTTTTCGAAGGGATCATAAGATGGAAACTTAATTTTGATAACAGACAACAAGCTATTTTAAAAACTGTTCAAAAAACCCTCCACCTTCTCTGATACAAAGTCTTGCCCTACGTGTAACACTTCTCGAAGCTATTAAGATGCTAAAACGGTTTTGACGAATTTCATTGGCTGCATCATTGATACGCTGCAGCAATTCCTCACGGGTATCGACTTCGGTGGCGTAAACTTTTTGATTTAGATATCCCCAGAAAAAGAAGTCCAGCGGGGTTAGGTCGGGAGAACGCGGCGGCCAAGCTACCGGTCCGTGCCTCCCTATCCACCGTCCAGCGAAATTTTCGTTTAGGAAATTTAGAACATTGCGACCACTATGTGCCGGGGCTCCATCGTGTTGAAAAAACATGTTACGTCGTAAATTTAGAGGCAGATCATCGAGAATTTGGGGAAGATTTTCTTGAAGTAAGTTTAAATAAAGATTTGAATTGAGACGTTGTGGAATTTCAATAGGTCCAATCAGAGTGTCGTGAATTATTCCCGCCCATAAATTTATGGAAAACCGTTGCTGGAAGTTTGTTCTCCGAACAACATGTGGGTTCTCTTCTTCCCAATAATGAGAATTATGAAAATTTAATTTTCCATTTCGGGTAAAAGTAGCTTCGTCACACCACAAAATTTTGGAAGCTTGCTCGTTGTCCAGCGACAAAATCCAGCGACAAAATTGCATACGTGGCGCAAAATCTTCTGGTATCAAGCCATGTACACGTCGATAGTGATAGGCATGTAGACCTTGTCGCTTTAATATTCTTCCAACCTGAAATGTTAGTAGCACATCTAATCAATTCTGTTAAGGAAATCTTTAAGATATGTAGTACCGTTGGCCGAGGAACATTTATTTGCCTTGAAATGTTCCGTATGCTAGTCGTAGGATCTTGTTCAATAGCGTCAAGGACCTCCGCTTCCCTATTAATCCTGGGACGTCCTTGACCCGGTGCCTTTCGAAAAGTGGCGGTTGCAGCTAAGTTGCGGAATACCGTAGGGAATGTCCTCCTTGATGGCAGCCTTCGGTTTGGAAACCTTCTCCCGTACTCGCGTTCTGCCGCTGCAGCATTACCATCGCAAAAGCCATAAATAAATATCATATCAACTAACTCTTGTCCCGTAAACTCTTCCATTTTTTTCGCTTAGAACTATTAAATTGGCAATCGGGTTGACAATACTTTGACATAAGAATACCTTGATAATTTTGTTTAAATTACTATGAAATTGACCAAAGTGGGATTAATTCAAGAGCGATTTTCTCAGAAACCGTTAAAGATAACGATTTGAAACAAGAGTACCTTTTTAACGTAAAACAGTTCGGGAAAACGGAATTTGCTGTCCAATTTGTTAAAAAGTCAAAGATGAAAAAGTTACACACGCAAAGTACCAAGGGCCCCCCCGTACCCACCCCAATGGACCTTGTGGAAATAAATGGATTAGTCCATCAAATTGCTCATCAAAATTTAGCTGTGTATACCAAATTTCATTCATTTATCACAACGCGATTGAGAGATATTGCAAAAAAATGATTTCCATTCCTCCCTCTTCAATGGGTCCCTGTGCCCTTAGGAAGCATTTCCGGACCCATGTTCATATGAACTTTTTTACTTAGTTTTGATCATAGAATCGGCCTGTTCAGGGTTGGCAGCTAATTATGAGACACCCTGTATAAAATACAACAGAACAATAAGAATTACAAATCGTATTCACAATACTGAAAATTATTTGTTTTCCCTTTGTAACATCTGTATCTGTCAAAAACAGTGCCGCCTCTTGCTTAAATAAACAAAAAACTGGAAAAGTTGGAAAAACTAAAGAATTCATAATCTAGAGACTACCGAATTATCAGAATTTAAATCAAAATTAATTTTATATGGAACTTATTATTAAAATTATACCTTAACATCTCCTCTGGAATCAAACCCATCTAACTGATTCAGCAATTCCAACATAGTCCTTTGAATCTCACGTTCACCACCTGAATTTGAGTCGTATCGTTTTGTTCCTACTGCATCAATTTCATCAATGAACACTATTGAAGGGGCATGTTCCTCAGCTACTCTGAATAGTTCTCTGACTAATTTAGGTCCGTCTCCCTACAAAAATTGCACATTTAAAATCATATAAATTTTTCGTTTTCCAAAATATTACCAAATATTTCTGAATAAGTTCAGAACCCACGACTCGCAAAAACGTGGCCGATGTTTGATTAGCCACAGCTTTAGCAAGAAGGGTCTTTCCGGTACCAGGTGGGCCATACAATATGACACCCTTGGGTGGCTTAATACCCATCTCCTCGTAATACTCTGGATGGGTGAGAGGCAATTCAACGGATTCTTTTATCTCTTGAATCTGAGTATCTAGGCCACCAATATCGGCGTATGTTTCTTGAGGCGCCTTTTCTAGCTTCATCACAGTAACCATGGGATCGGTGTCATCTCCTAGGACTCCAACGACTGCGTGTACTTTATGGTTAAGAAGCACAGAGCATCCAGGCTCTAGTTGATCTTTGTCAACAAAGGATAGAATACTGACATAGTGTTCACTACCTACTGAAGTGGATACGATGGCATGGTTGTCGTCAATAATCTCTTCTAATGTACCCACAGACATTGGAGTTCCTGAAACAACAAATTTTTTCCTTACAATTTACCATTTTATAAATTTAAAGAACATTAAAAACTTGTTACTAATCTTCATATTTTATTTTTGTAGAAACGAGGGATTAGTAAAAGACTTGCACAGTAATCAAAACACTTAAGCTACGTAACAAATTTAAATCCTGCAAATTTTCATGTCTCATCTTTAATAGCCATAACTTCAAAGTATGAAGCAGTGCACTAATTAATTACGAATATCTTATAAACAAAATTACCTCTAAGATCATCAACTTTAGATCTTTCCTCCTCATTTTTCTCTTCCTGTGGCTTAAGTCTTTCTTGATTACGAATGAATTCCTCCTCCATAAGCAAGTAATCCTTTATACGTTCCAGTTTAAGTAATTTCAAGCGGCATCTTGTATGAGGTGTCACTGCAGGTAACTTGAGAGCAGTGTCTGGTCCTTTAGTGCGGCGCTTCTTTTTGCCAACTCTAGTAGGAATTGGAGGCTCATATTTTTTCTTCTTGTCTTTCTCTTCTTTCTTATCACCACCACCTGGCCCTGACTGACTTTGTCCCTACAGAAAAAAAAAGAACGATTATATTGAATTAAATTGAATGAATGTAACACAATAAATTTCCTTACCATTTTCGTTCAAAAATATCTTAAATCTTGAATTTCACAAAGGTAATGTACGAAATCTACTCAGTCATCGACAGTCGACTTCTGTCAATTTTAATTTCGATGATTTGCAAAATTAATTTTTGTGTGTTGGTAACAGTCCAAAGGATTTTTTGTCTTCGAGCATATACTACTAGAGGTAGCATGCCATTGTGAAAAGTGTGGCTAAGTGTGCGAGAGAGACAGAGAATATCTCAGTAAATGCTGTGTGACTCAAGCACGCGCGCGATTGGTTGGAAATGAATGGTCGCGCTCACTGGCTCTCACGGACCGTAAAGGTTCCCGTCGTTGAAGCGAAGAATGAGGTTAAATAATTTTTGCGAGTTCCGTCAAATGTTAACTCAAACTCCTAACACAATCAAACTTGAGCTAACCGCGCCATTGTTCCATGGCTAGAAATTGGCCTCAATGATTTGGGATCGAGTAAACCCCCGGGGTTTACACAGACGAGTCGGCGAAGCAAGAAGAGCGCCAGAAGAAAGAGCCCTAGCCGGCGGGGCCCAGCCAGGACAAAAGGAGGTCCCACAAAGCGCCTACACCGGCCGCATTTGCGGTCGGGGTAGACGACGGATGGGGCCCACCTACAAAGGCTGTCCAGGCTTACACGAGATGAGGCAGGATAAAGAGTGATAATCCCCCTCGATCCCAAATCATTGAGGCCAATTTCTAGCCATGGAATAATGGCGCTCACTTATTCCTTTTTCATATCTTGTGTCTCTTCGTATCACACTCTATGCCGCGTATATATTCTAATTAAATTCTAATAGGAGTTTACGAAAATTGACTCTGGTTGCTCAAATTATTATTTGTGTCCTTGTTATTCTTACGGCTTTAGAGAGAGAGAATGCTATGTTGAGATCACTACAAGGCAATTTTCGTACACCCCTAATATAGAACTATCGTATTCCCTTAGCCTCTTTATACAAAGTACAGCGGCAGTTAAAGTACAAATTGCTTTTTGTGCTTTATTTATTTATTAAATTAATTTAAGGCAAACATTTTATAAATTCATTTATTAGCAGAACCATGAACTTCAGCAGCAAACGGAGCAATACATTTGGACTCAATTTGAGAAAACATCAAATAATTTACAAGCGAAATATAATTAATATTTACTTACGTATTGCTTCTTATGTATTTTTAAATACTGTAAAAGTTTAAATTGATTGTGAAAACAGACTATCTACCTATTGAAAAATCAATGGTGCGAGAAATCCCGCTCACTATCAAAAATAATGTTGGAACACATTTTCATATTTCAAATAGTACTTAAAATAAAACTGCCCAAATATATTTAATTTTTATTTTCAATACTTTGTATCCAAATTTTTCCACCCTTCATGGTATGGGAGTCAAGAGCCACCAGTTTAAATTTATTTTCGATGAAAGGGTTCAGCATTTAAATACAAAATACACATCATCCTGCCAATTACCTTTTACACCATAAAAATTTATTATTCCACTGTTCCCCTAGTTTCGTACATTGTTTCTGTAACATTTATTTGAAATTATAGTTTTACCTTATAGATAACAATTTCGATTCAAAATTTAAAAAATTATTGAAAAGGATATGTAATAAAAAAGTATATGAATAGCATATTTATTTTGGAATTCATGAATATCATTTAAAATCAGCCTTACAAAAAAAATACTTAAAACTAACAATAATAGGGCATATAAAGGACAAATCATCATTAAATAAAAAAATATAACAAACTTAACACAGAAGACAAATGCAGGCTTACATGTTTGCTTTTGCCATTAAAAGTTAAGAAACAATCTAAGTCACTGTTTAAAGTAAAAGCAAATTAGATATTAACATCACAATAAAATTTGTTTCCCAATCAAAAGAATAAAATATTGGAACACTATCACTAACTTATATTGTAAAATATGCTAGAAGTAAATTTTTCAACTTAATTGAAGAAAACATCCTCCTGCCTATAAATGTACCCCTTTCTTCTTCAACAGTGCTTTAGTGTCAATTCTTCGAATTCTCGAAGGATCATTCAGCACCTGACTTCTAAAATCCTTTGGATGAACTTTACCTGCTTTGTAAGCTGCCTTTTCCTCCTTATCAAAGGCTGTAGTCGATGGTTTGACATACGCCACTTCGGTAATCCAAGAATTATTCATGTTAGTGCTTGGCCTCACAATACGTCTAGGTCTGTTCTTTATATCGGTGATCAACTGGTTTATAAGACCCAAAGACCGCACCCTTAGTTCATGTTCCAAGGGATTATCTCGCTTAGGACTTCTTAATGACTTTTTCTCAACATTCTTCCTCTTCTTCTTCTTTTTGTTAGTTTCAATTTTCTTACTTTTAGTTCCTATTTGATCCAAATGATCCATGCTTTTGCTCAACCTCCGCTTCTTCCTCGCTTTCTTTTTTGCCTCGGCCAAAGTACTGTTATCCATACTAACACTCAATCGTTTTGGTGGTGTGGTTTTCATATAGAATATTTCCTCTGAACTGTCTTCCTCGAAATTCACATTATCCTCTTTATCCACAGATTGATTAATTTCAACATTACTGCTACTTCTCAATAGTCTTCTCTTCTTGGCATTTCTAGTTTGCTGGATTTCATGTTCAGATTCATCTTTTGCACAGCACTCAATGGACAAATTCATGGAAATTTCTCCTTTACGCATTTTAGTACAAAAGCTATCGATTAAATTTGAAACTCGTTCACTTAGAGGTGAATCCTTAATTTCCTTAACGTTTATGTTTTCCTGTATAGTTATAGACGACAGCCTTTTCTTCTCAGTGCGTTGTTCGAATACTGGACTTTCAGTCGGGCTCACATCTGGAGATTCTTCCTGGCTAATTGCAGTTGGTTTTGTTTCCACAATAAAAACTTCATCATCTGTTTTCTCTTCGACACATACTACTTCTTCAATTTCACTAGTTTCTTCTACAGTTTTTACCATTTCTTCTGAATCATTATCGTTATGTAACTCAACTTCACCTGCATCTGATTCACTTGATTCTGTTATGGAGATAATTCTTGATCGTTTCTTCTTTGTTGGTTTTGTTTTTTCTTTTTTCTGGATCTTAATAATATCATCATCACAATTGTCTAATTGAATGATACGAGATTTCTTCTTTGTTTTCTCAGAGTTCAAAGCGTATTCTTCACCAGACAACAATCGCTCTTCTTCATCGTCACAAATAAATGAGTCATTTTCATCATATTCGTCACTATTAGAACCATATTCCGATTCGGTAGAACCTACTGACTCACCTTCGTCAATAATAGCATTACTGTCTTCAGAAGGTGTGTCTTCTTCTCCTTCTTCAGCCATGGTACATATGTAATCATTTGGTTCAACTGAATTTTCATCTTCAGAAAAAGATTCTTCACTCGTCAGCTCTGCTATTTTCTTAGTGATAAATTCATCTAATATCGAAGCAGGTGATTTCTTTGAACTGTCTTTTGCACGCTTTTCTTTTGTTATAGATATTTTAGGAGAAACTGATTTATTTTTCTTCGATTTTTGTTCGTTACATTCTTGGGAATTTATAGTATCTCCCAATTCATTATAATCTAGAGTATTTTTTTCTAGATTGGTGTCTTCTTCAGAGGTCGAATTTTTTATTAGTTTTACAGGAGACACGATTTTCCTCTTCTTTTTTGTAGTCTTTTTGTCTTTTGATTTAGTGTCTTCAGTACCTTCAGATTCTTTTGCAACGGAATCTTTAGATTTCCGAACTTTCTTCTGTTTCTTTTTAGGGTTCTTTATTGCTATAATCCCTATATCTGAATCGTCACTATATATATCAAATATTTCTAAATCTTCCTCCCTAATTCTACGTTTCTTCTTCGATTTTTTCGAATGATGTGATTTACTTTCATTTTCTCCGTCTGAATCTGTTTTCTCTTTATTATTTCTTTCCATATCTTCCTCATAAGATTCCATTTCTTTCTTCAAAGAGTATTTTCTCACTTTCAATTTCTTCTGGGGACTTTTCATATCTGAGTTGTTTATTTTTTCCTCGATCAAATTTACTAATTCATCTTGTCCTTTCATGGCATTGTCTTGAACTTCATCTGTAAATTTACCTTTTAATTTGTCACCATTTTCACTACTTTTATCATCATCTATATCTTTTTGGACGTTACTTTCCTGTGAATTTTGTATATTATCAAATATTTCTTCACTATCACTGTTTTTCTCCAAATCTTTTTCTTTTAGGTCTGTGTGATTAGTATTCAACTCTACTGCAAATATCTCCTCAGTACTTTGAGAAATACCAGAACTGTCTTCTTCTGTACAAAGTTCTTCCTCATGTACTTTTGAAGTATCTAGTTTTTTCTTGTTTAGGATCATAGTTTCCATTTCAGTACTAGTCGATAAATCACTGATAAGTTGAGATGTTGCAATATAACTGGATACAACTGTGCTTTGGTCATATTCTGCTGCATGGGTTTTTTCAGCTTCCTCTTCATCAGAAGGTAACTCAAAATCATAGTCATCTAAATTATTTGATTTCAATGACTCCTTAGATGTTATATTTACTGTATCTTCTACATCATCCAAAGATTGCTTAGACTGAGTTTCTAAATCCTTCAAGTTGTTAGAGCTTTCTGATTTTACTAATGTTTCCACATTCAATTTATTTATCTCTATATCTTCAATTTTTCCAGATTCAAAGTTAGCTTTCTCTGTTGAACTTTTGTCTGATTCTAATGGTTTCTCGAGCATACTACTATCTGAATGTGGACTCTTAGACCTTCTTAGAGATTCGGGACTCTTAGACCTCCTTCTCACTTCAACTTCAATATCACTGATTTTCAAATTTCGACCGCCAGGACTTTCAGTAGCACTGAAAGCATCCTCAAGTTCAGAATACTTAGATTTGTTTAAACTTTGTTTCTCTTGTAAATTTTCTGCATCTTGCTTTCTATCTGTTGCAGGACTTTTGGGCTTTTCAATATCTATTTTCTCTTCCTCATTTGAATAATCAACAAATTTTAAATTTTCTGTATCTTCCTTTCTATCCATTGTTGGACTATCGGACTCTTCGATGTCTATTTTCTCTTCTTCATTTGAACGATCAACTAGTTTTTTAATAATTGCTGAAGGACTTGCCTCTACCTTTTTATCTGATAAATCAATAGAAATTTCTGGAAATATTTCTTCATCTGCTCGAGATTTAGCTTCGATTAAAGGACTTTTTAATTTCTTTAAGAGTATCCCTTCTTCAAATTGACTAGCTGAACTCTCCGGGGGAGTAGATATAGCATCTGTATTTTGTTCTTTGCTTACTGCAGGACTTAGAATTACTTCTGTAACAGCCGTTTCTTGCAATGGTAAATTTTCAATGGATTGTCTAAGGGAAGACTTTTCTTCGTCTATCTCATTTTGAACATTCACTAAGGAGGGATTTATGTCCTCTGTAGACAAATCTTTATCTTCTAATGCCGATGGACTGGCATGTCTAGTGACTTTCCCTATATTTTGTTCAGTGGTATACAGCTTTCTTGACCGAGAATTTTTTGAACTTCTCGATGTTGTTCCTTCCTCTAATGGCTCACTTTTTGGTGATCTTTGGGATTGAGGGCTTTTGGATTTTCTAGATTTATCTTTCACATGCTGTGGACTTCTAGATCTTTTTGGCACATACTTTGTAGGCTGTGGACTTTTAGATCTTCTCAAACATGAATCTTTTTCTACTAGTTCAGTCTGAGATGGATGTTGCGGTTGAGGACTATTAGATTTTCTTGACAAAGTTTTCTTCTTATTTGCAGTCTGTATACAAATAAACGAAGGGCTTCCTGATCTCCTATTTTCATCACCTGTTCTTAGACTTTCATTAGAATGAGAACTCGTATCTTTTTGTTTTTTGATGTGTTCTGGTGACTGTGGTTCTAGATCATTATTTTTCATTAATTCATCTGGCAATGTACTTAAAGGTGTTTCTTTTATGTCTTGATTCTTCTCCAAGGAAATATTTTTATCTGCAGTTTCCTCTAAATTCCGTTCAACTCCTGCTATTTGACATCTAGGATTGGTTATTGCTTCTCTAGAGATTTTTTCTTCTTCAAGTACATTCTCAACATGTGATTTAATTTCCACTTCATCAAAACTCTCTAATTGGTTATCAATTTGTTCACTTGAACCTTCTGCACCAAGTGTTTCTAACTCGGAATGTTCATCCTTTATAAATTTTTCAGGTGTTTTAATTTTGGAGTCTTCATCCTGCACCATAGTTTGTGAAACATCGTTTGGATCTTCATTTTTTTCAGCACCAGTACTTAGGTTCAAATAAAAACTATCACCTACAGAGTCATTTTCTACGTCAATCAAACTTCCTTTCTGTAAATTTTTATTGACAGGTTGTTCTTCAATTTCAACATCTTTGAAGTTCTTCTTTGCACTTAAGGTAGATGTAGCTGGTACATCCCCAATATTTGATGCTTCAGATTTACCTTGTTCTGATTCTAACATTGAGGGATATTCATCAACTTCCATTGGCTCCATAAAACTATTTTCCTTCATTTTTGGTCGGAATACATTTGAAATTCTAGCAACAACAATTTCTTCTTGGATTAAGCTTTTATCATGAACAGGAGTATTAGTTAAGATATTTGAAACTTGATCCTTTTCTTCTCCAGTGTTTTTCTTTGGACTTGAAACGGTGTTTGCATTAACATTTTCTTTATCACTTGCATTACTAGATTTAGAACTGTTCAATTCGTCCTTTTCTTGGATACTTTCATTTTGGGAAGCTGAAACTGACACATTCAAATGGAATTTGAAAGATCCATCAGATTCCATGTTTATATTGCAAACTTCTGTTAATGTTTTGCTAACACAACTCTTCTCTAATGATTTTTCTTCTGAGAATTTATCTTCTTCATTTTCCTTCATCTGTTCATTTTCAAGTGTCTTGATTTCTATTGTTTCAGAAGAAACTTCATCCTTTGCATCTCCTTCCAAATTTATTGGCTCTTCTGTATCAATAAAGTTCAGTTTTTTTGGACTTGTTTGAAGATGTTCTGCATTTTCCTCTTTTTTATTCGAGTTGCTCATATCTGGTTTAGGTGATTGGTTTTCCTCCATATTTAAATGACTAATTGGTGAACTACACGGACTATTCAATTTTTCAGCTGACTTTCGTTTACTTTTATTTAATCTAGGTGACCTTCTTGGTGTTATTGTTTCTCCTTCGCATTTATCTTTATCATCTTGTGTTTCTTCTACTATACTAGTTTCATTGATAACACTTAAATTTAAATTTGTTGTGACTTCTGTTGGTTTAGTAGGCCTAACAGGTGTAAGATTTATTGCTGTATCTTTTGTTACTGGAGAATTACTACTCCTACTTTTTATTTCCGATTCTAGTTCTTCAATTGGTTCTAAATTAACCGTATTTTCAGTCACAGAAAGTCTTCCTTTAGATTTTACTGGTGTTAGTTTAATAGCTTTCGGTTCAGGTTCGCTATCTAGTTCATCTGTGGATAACCTCCGTCCTCTAGTATTGGGTTTCTTCTGTTTAGGTTCAGTGTGGTCTGCTGTATCAACTGAACCTTTTCTGCTTCTTGTAGTTCTTTTAACAGGTTCTTCTTTGGGCTCTTCTTCTTTAACTGAACTTCGTCGTGCTCTAGTTGTTTTTTTGGCAGGTTCCTCCTCAGTAGGTTTTTCGGTAGCAGAACTTCTGCGAGTTTTAATTGGTTTTAAAGTCTCAATATCAGCTGGATGATCTTCTGCAGCACTTGACCTTCGACGTCTTGTAGTGGCTTGCGGTTTTGGTTCTTCTACAGTGGATGCAGAGGCTCTTCGGCCTCTGGTTTTAGCAGGTTCCGGTTTTGGTTCAGACTCTTCCTTTGTAGTAGAACCTAAAAAAAAACAAATTAAAAAATACGGTAAACAATACAACGAATAATCGTTTCAAAAATTGTTAATAAAATTTAGTTACCACAAAATTAAAATGTGATTTCTTGAGATTGAGTATATATTATGCTAAAAATTTAAAGGTCATGACAAAGAAGCCATTTTTTTGGTACTTATGTCTGAAGTACATAAGGTCAAAAATCGATCTAGTAAAAATATTGAGAAATTCTTCATGACAATGCACACTATGGGGTTGCCTATTATTTGGTGTATTTGAACAAATACATACAAATGAAGCTTATATGTAACATTCATAACTTTCATCACGTTTTCAAATAGTAGACATTTTGAAAAATTTCTATAAAACAAGTACAGAGCGATTCCCTATATTTTGCCCCCCCTTTAACTTGTTTGTTTTAAGAGTTATAAAAAAATGTGAAATATAAAAGTTGCACGAGTTTTTATGAATGTTTCAAAAATGATATAAGTTAAATGGAACACCCTGTATATTTTTACATATTTGGATATAAGGTTCCCTATAGAGCATAGTCATATAAGGTTTCTTGGGTCCATCTCTAACAATAAGCAAGATACAATTGAAAAACGAATCTTGTAATTGTCCGACCTCTGTCAGGCATTTCTACCTTTTTTCCAATTACATAAGGATTTACAGATTTAGTTGTAATGTATTTTGACATTTTGGACATTGATATGGTCCAAAATGCGTGTAGGTAATGTAACGAAATCTCACTAATTAAACCGTGAGAGGTCTAATTACTCATGGACATTATATGGTAGGTCACGACAGTGACAGGTAATGTTTTGACAACATTGTTATTGATTGACAGTTTGTATTATTATTTAATTAAAATAGGTTACACAGAAGTTGAAAATTATTTAGAAATAAAATAAAGTATGGAGAAGAACTTTGCTCTATTTTAATTCCTATATTTCAATTTTCTACTTCTGTGTAACCTATTTTAATTAAATAATAATACAAACTGTCAAACAATAACAATGTAGTCATGACATTACCTGTGACTGTCACGGCCTACCATATAAATCTATGAGCAATTAGGCCTCTCACAGCCTAATTAGTGAGATTTAGTTAAAATACCTATACACATTTTGGACCATATCAATGTCCGATCTGTCAAAATATATTATAACTAAATCTGTAAATACTTACATAATTGGAAAAAGGCAGAAATGCCTGAAAGAGGTTTAACAATTACAAGATCTTATTTTCTTAATAAAAAAACCTTTTTTTTTGTGTTTTAATAGTATCTCGCTTATTGTTAGAGATGGACCCAACAAACCCTACATGACTATGCTTGACAGGGAACTTTCTATCCAAATATGTAAAAATATATATTGTGTTCCATTTAACAAAGTCAACATTCGCGGACATTTTGTTTGGACTTCATTTGTTTTTCTACCATCATTTTCGAAGAATTTATAAAAACTCGTGCAACTTTTATATTTCACATTTTTTTATAACTCTTAAAACAAACAAGTTAAAGGGGGGTCAAAATATAGTGAATCACCCTGTACTTGAATTAAATTTAAAGATATTTAATTTAAAACATTTTCTAGAAAATCTGCTACGTTTTTCATCAATGGAAATCTACTAAATTTTATATTTATTCAACTAAAGTGCTTATTTTATAGAAATTGTTAGAAATGGGAAGCATACACGATCGAAGCTATGAAATTCTTTAATAGTACTTTCCTTCAAAAGAGTATCTTTTATTTTTAAATTAGGTAAAAATAAAAGTTGAGGACAAAATAGTGATCCCCTAAAATTGCCCGTTATAGAAGACATAGATTTAAATAATACTTTATAAATTAATGACCAGATGCTAAGTTTAAGTTTAAATGGTAACCAGATGTAACCCTCCACATTGCAAACATTTCAGACACAAAAAAAAGATATAGAGAAATGTGTAGTAAAACTATTGAGATTTTTCAGAATATTTCGAGAACGATATCTATTTTCAATTATTTTTTTTTTTCATAAGCTTAAATACCTCGAATAATTTTTTGTAATTTCATCTCTTCAACCCCTTTTTAACAATATTAAACAGCATGAGGTATAAAAATGTGCAAACTTTTTTTGTACATTCACCAACTTTTCTAGTTTAGATTTTCATGGTGTACAACTCAAAAGTGGTTGGCCTGTATAAAGTTCGAAAGTAAATTGTATAGGTACTTCTGGTTCTTATTTTTTTTTTCTCATATAATATCTCTTTCCGAGTGTAACTTACTTCTAATGGAAGAAAAAATATGTAATTATTATAGAACTGTCACAATCGGTCTGCTAGCCATTGGAGCCGTCAGTCATGCGAGATGCCTAGCTATTTAGTCCTTGATTTCCTTGTAGGTAATCGAATGATTTCTTTTATGATTTTATTTGTCTTTTGATGCATAATTGTGTGTAATTACGTCGAACGTAGTTAGTGCTAAAAAACAGCAAACAATTCATACTATACTGACTAAAAAAAAAAAAATAATAAATTTACCGGTCAGTAGCTATAAAATTATTAACATATAAAAACTATTCAGATGGAATACAAAACAGATATATTTTTTGGAATAGAAAAGAATTTTATGAAAGTAAAGGAAAATAATAAGTTCTAAAAATACCCATTTACTGCACCCTTCATTTAAATGATTAATTTATTTATAAAAATAAAAAAAAAAAAAAAACAAAGAAAAAAAAATCACAAGCTCAACATCACAAACGCAGCAGTAGCAAAAGTAAACAACAAAAACAAACCCAAAATCAACAAGTGCAAGTGCAAGTGCACAAAGAAAAAGAAAGTGAAAACAAAAACAAAACTTAATAAAAAAAAAAAAACAGAAACAGAAATCAAAATAAACATACACATACTAGGAATAAAAACAAAAAAAATATTATTAAACAAAAAGTAATAAGTATTAAACAGTGCACAACACACATAAAAAAACTAGCGAAAACCAGAAGACATAATATATGTTTGATTTAATCTTTATATTGATTGCATGTAACCTTCCATTTGATATAGTAAATAATAAAACATTTCATTCCTACTGGAATAAATATAACCCCAAGTGGAAATTACCATGTCCGACCAGCTTGGAAGTAGATTATTTTATTATTTAATTATGCAAATATTAAATCAGTAGATGTCGAACGGTCATTCTCCTCAAATTAAGATATTTTATCACCGCCGCGAATAAGTTTCGCTGAAACAAGGGTAGAGACATACATGATGATGTGATCTAACGTATTCCATTCTGATTGTGGAAACGATACCAATGATGCGTAGAACAATTTACGTGTTTCACAATGATACAATGACATAAATCTTATAATCACTGTTCACTGTATTTTATATTGATAATCCGCACGCCTTTGGTGTGCGGCTAATTATGACAGCTCTAGTAATTATATCACAGATAATTATAAAAACAGATTTGATAGGGCATGACAATGCTGTTATTCAAGCATTTTTTTTTTAAGTGAAATACTTGCAAAATTTTCTAATTTTGCAAATTAACTATACAGAAAATACCCTAATAAAAGTTGGAAGCAACAAAAATGAGAATAAAATGAAACCTGTAATTCATTATGTTGCATTTAGTAGTTTGAAATTTGTAAAGTTGACATGTCTACAAAAAACAATCTGTACAATGAATGTTTCTTAAATTTGGAGCACCAGCTAACAATCGTCTTGGTTGGATATCGCCACCCATAATTGACATTCTTTTGTTTGATATGTATAACTGAATAAAGATTTAGCAAGCAAATTATAAGGAATTTTCAAAATAATTTAACAATGCTTTAACCAAATTCATAACTGTCTCATCATTCATAGAATTTTACAAATAATTGAAAACACGTAATAAATATAGTTAAAAAGAGAACATTTTGATTGTCAGGTATTCATACATCAGTTTTATTTGCATCTTTCATGCTGACAAAGTTGTACTAAATACAAATTATGAGATATAGAATAAATAAACAAATTTGCTGTAGTAAATAATACTTAACAATTGATTCAATTAATTATTTATTATTTATATTTAGGTATATTATTTAAAAAAAAATAAGAACAATCGGTTGTGGCAAGTGGTCAATCTAGACACTTAATTTAAGCTATCTTTTGTTATTTGTTTTTTGTTGGTAAAGATTTTAAGTAAACACTAGTGTTTTTTGAAATTTCACTTTAATTATTGTAAAGGTATATTTGTTGTAAATCACTAAAATATATAGTTCATTAGTCATAGTTCGTAGTTATCAATTACGGAATATTAAGTATTAAGGGTATTCTCATCTAAGTAAACTCCATTTCTTTGCTGGATTTTTAACTACATTAAATATTTTAATGATTTAAAGCTATTTAAAAAGTTAATATCGAGATATAGCTCTGAATGTAATACAATAAAGCTTAATTACAAATTTTGCATAAAATGAAATTTTATTTAATTACTTTTTTAAATAAAGTGATGTTTGAAAAAACTGCATTTTCTGAGAATCTCTATAAAAAAATATAGCAAATTACTGCTTAAGGTGTTCTGTATGTTAGGCATGGAGCAGTAGTATCTATCACCTATGTAAAAGAAGAAATTTGGAGTTGATGCGCTTATACTCTACGCCCCACTGCCACAAGGCACTTGTACGCAGAACTTTAATTGGTGATATTATACCCCTCTCCCCAAGATAAAAAATCTCTATAAAAAAACATACAACATTTTAAAAGATGTACCTAATTTAATTTAATAAAATTTTCTTCAGTTATTTCTTCATCTGAAATTTTTGGCACCTTTACTACACAGCTTTAGAGTTGCTGCACCCCTCCTCTATGTTTTATACAGGGTGTCCGCAAATTTCACCAACAACGTTTGACTCTATATTCACTATAAATAATAATAATAATATAAACTCTGGTTTTTGAGTTACAGGCCTTCAATGTTGTCAAAAATAAAACTAATTTAATTTTTAATTTCATAACCCTTTTACCGATAGCGTTAAAATTTGGCACATTTATTTGGGTTATTATGGCATATTATTTCTTAAAGCCTTAATCAAATTGATATACTAGGTGATAGTTTCTCTGATTACCTCTCCCTTTTAGCGGTCAAAACTTTACAGTGTTTTTTTTTTTTTTTTAAATGGGCAGCTACATTGAAAAGGTCGTTTTATTTTAAAAAAAAAATTGTCTCTTGAGAAAATTGCCTCGAGAAAGCCATTTTTGAGAAAAATGGCATTATTTGCAGGTCTGTATGGTTCGGTTTACGTAGCAGTGTCACTGATTTAAAACATTGAGTTCAGTAGGCGATGAAAACAAGATGTTGATTGCTGTGGCTATCAGGTAATGTCATTATTGTCATGTTTCTTTAGGATTCTCATCACTCCACACATACAAATTATGAAGTGCCTGCAAGACAATTAAATGTATGTAAAATTAATGTTCACAAAACTTTAAAAATGCAACTTCTACGTCCATTTCATTTAACTCCTGCTCAAGAACTTGAAAATTTAGATCCCAACGCATGTTTACAATGTTGCCGCTGGTTAGTGAATGGTTTCACAGAACATAATAATTTGCTTAAAATTGTTTTGTATCGACGAATCTTGTTTTACAAGGAACGGAATTGTAAATTTTCTTAATTTGCATGTGTGGAGTGATGAGAATCCTAAAGAAACACGACAGTAATGACATACATGATAGCCACAGCAATCAACATTTTGTTTTCATTGCCTACTGAACTCAAAGTTTTAAATCCGTGACACTGCTATGTAAACCGAAACATACAGACCTGCAAATAATGCCATTTTTCTAAAGAATGGCTTTCTGTAATGGCTTTCTGGCAAAAGCCAAAAATTTTGTATCTAACTTTTTTTTCGTAGATCGTATTTATTTATCGTCGTGAATATGCTGTCAAACGTTGGTGAAATTTGCTGATACTCTGTATAAAAAAAATGCTTATATGTATTCATGTTTGACTATGCATAATACTGTTTTATACTGAATTTCTTTCAAATATCTTAAAAAATGACAAAGTTATAGTAAAAAATAACAAAAAAATGCTTTGAAGAGTCATACTATCTTTGAAAGAATTTTGGTAAAACTAATTTTATTGTTATATGTACTTAAAAACTTGGTTAATTTTTTTACACTTAATTATCACAGCCTATATACATATATTTTTACAAACTTTGATGCTTTCATCTCTAATAATAAGAAAATATTACGATAACCAATGGTACAATGTGTTAAAACTGATTGCTTAGTAAGTACCTATTGACATGCGACTTATGCCATTGCACATTACTTTGGCCACAACTTTTACTGTTGGAAGTAGATTAATAAAACTTGATATTACTGTAATCCTGAGAAAACATTACATATTATGAAAAAATTTACAAATGCCCCATAAAAAATTTTCTTATATCTCAGGAATCAGTTTTCAATTTTTTTTACACTAAAAATTTTTTCACTTTTTTGATAGATCGAAGGCAATAAAGAGCATATTAATGGTAATCCCTTGCAAAGTAATATCTGTAAGCGCTACTCCCTATTTTCTTTCTTATTCTTTGAAATAAGAAAAATGCATAACAAGTTGTAAAAAACTTAATTATAGTAGTTAGGTTGCGAAAAAAAAAATCAAATGTCAGGTTACGAAAATATAGGCTTAACATGTTTTTTCAAATGGAACCCAGTGATATAAAATTTGACAGATGTCCCCAGAAAACCGATATAGCCAAAAAGACAGCAATATAAGAACAATGTAGTGGAAAATGACTTGGTTGTTTAGTAACCAGAAATCATTTTTCGACATATTACTGTAAGTCTAAAATAGCATTCTATCTAAACGTCTAAAAATATACGGGTTGATCCATTAAAAGAATGTGAGTTAGGCCTACATCTTAATAAAACAATATAATTACCCTTAAGTATTAAAAAATTTAAACAGTTTATTCTAGCTGGCGGTAATGTGAAAATATGTAAGTGGAAGAATTTTTTTAAATGCCTATGAAAATAAGTTTTAATTTTAAGTAAACAATAATTGATGAAAGTGCTCTAATACTTTTATTAAATGTAATAGTAATGAAATATTTTGCTTCTGTTTTAACATTCTAATTTTAATTCAAAATATGAATTAGTGTTTGATATTTCTTGTCTTGTGTTTACAGAAAATCCCTTTTTTTGTTTTTGTACTCTTATAATATAATTCTTAGGAATTAAGTTTAAAATTGCCAAATACGATAATTTATGAAACTTAGTTTTAAGAGTGCACAATAGTAACGACAATAACTTACAATTTTCCACAGCTGAGGTAAAGATTTTCATTTGAATAAAATGATATCAAATATGAACTGCATTTTCTAATAACTACTGAAAATTCTGTTTTACATATGTACTACTTGAGCAATGGTTAATCAATACAGACACAGGATGAATTGGAAAAGGTTAACTAAGATCAGTTGATTTTGAATAGGTAAAACATATAATAGGTATTTGATGGATTTTACAAATAAACAAAATGTTTGAACCTAATTTTTTCAACAATTCAATGGAAAAAATGTTTTTATCTATTTCTATTTTGATTGATTAAAAACTGTCCAGTTTTTTAGGATGCAATTTATTTTTATATTGCTATAAAGTTGTCAGTACATAGTGCAAGGACACTAAAAAGGTCCTTACAAGAGGCACTGACCCCTTTATCATTCCTTTCTACACCCAGGTGGAAATCTAGTTCACAAAAGATAAAAAAGAATAATAGGGCAGCTGTATGGTTCTCTCACCCAGGTAAATTTCCTCTTATTCCAAAACAGTTTTAATAAAATGCAAGCATAAACTCTATGAATTATCAGAGAATTTCAAATACTATATTCCAAGATGCAGAAAAAATGTCCTTAACATACATTTTAGAATATTCAGAATGAAAACAGAAATAAATGGTGATATTTTCGTTCATTTATGATATACAGGACATATTTTAAGCAAAAGCAAGTTTATTAAGTATTTCTAATAAGTTATTACCTGTATTTCAAATGTGAAATGCAAACGTTGAATTAGACAATCTTGTTTATACAGATAACCTAAAGAACCGGTATTTAAAAATGGCGCCGAGTTTGAAATTTTCTGAGAGCATTAGGTACAATACAATTTTAACTGTATTTAGTAGAGCTGAAAGCAATTTTAAACAACAAAGAACTATATTTAGCATATTAATTTTGTAAATACTGTAACAGGAAATATAAAATACTTAAATATAAGAACATAAAGTTCAATATTTTAAAATTTACAATAATGGGACCTTATAAAATTTTTAAATATTTCATATATACCTGAAAGCTCTCATATACATTAAAACATGCAACAATGCATGATCAACATTTTAAGATTTCAGTTGCACAGTGTGTGGTGCGAGATCAAAAGGTTTGCATCATTCGAAACTAACAGTGACGGGGTATATGGAGACAACAATGTAATTTTCAACATTTGTAGATCGAACTATAGTTATAATATAATTGAAGCATTGGTTTTATAAGCTACGTTATCAGATAAGTCAAAGTAAGGGCTGATGCTTGCCCATAAACTTTGACGTTTGTAAGCCGTTAAGATCTAGTGGACACTGTGAATTAGATGGGCCTTTTGTCCAGTATATCTAATGACTCAAGTCAATAACGAATTTGGCAGGAATTTTCAAATGTTTTTAAGTACATCCAAAAACCTATTATACCAATAAGTTTTACGATTTTCAAGAATTGATTTGCTTCGCATCATATGTGTGGAGCATGTGATACAGAAGCCACATTTGTTAATGTTCAAATCAAAATAGTTTTGGTTACAATATTTGCTTTACTTAGTGTTTATAGTACTGAAATTGTAAAGTATTGAATTGAATATCATTTCAACGAAGATAATATTTTTAGTCAAGTGAAGTAAAAAATTACCTTTTCTTCCTCTTGTAGCAGGTTTATTATCTACTTTTTCATCCTTATCAGAATTGTCCTGTGATAGAGAGGCACGCCTGGTTTTGGGTGCAGTTTCATTTTGTGTTTGAGACGCTCTTCTTGTGTTTAACGTTGCTGGGGTCGGTGAGTTGACAGAAGTCTTTCGGCTAGATCTTCTAAGGGGTGAATTCACTGCTGTTCCTTCTGCTTGGATTTCTGCTTTACGTTGCATGTTTTCTTCACTAAGCAGAAAAACGTTTTTTGAAATAATTGCATTAGTGAAATGAAACATGACTAAAAATATTTAAACAAATAAAATTGGCATTCTAACTTAACAGCAAAAATAACAGCATTAAGTACTTATTTTATTCAATTAAATTTTCTTTGTTAAAGATAAAAAAATAGGTTAAGATTTTTTGCTAATTACTAATAAAAACAAATATGTAACATTTTTAACTTTAACCAACTCAGAATTTAAATTAAGCTGCAACAATTTCATATAGTTTCGAATAACTTATTCAGTAGCCATATTTCACTGCTGTTCTTTGAGAAAACAAAAAAAAATATATTTATTAATAAATACCACAACGGTCCAGTTGAAAAGTAAAATAAAATACCTTTAAATAGATCGTACATAAATATATTCAATATCACCTTAATAAATAAAAAAAAAGCAAAAAAAGTAAGATAAAACTACAAGCTCTTCTACACGTGCACCCCACAAATTTAAATTCCAAACCGTCAAAATTGTAACCGTGGAGTGGACGGAAATGACTTGCGCACAAGCATTAGAATCATATGTTGAATCATTGATCACTAATTTAGATGGAGCGGCTAAACAAGTAATAGATTGCATTATAGATTATAAGCAAACTGCCATTATTTTCTCATGTAGAATCACCGCTTGAAATTTGTCGCATTTATTTACTAACACCCTGTATATTATAATTATGCAAATAGTATCATTTAATTCTAATATCCTAATTCTAGGATACTCAACCGAAAAGACTGCTAAAAGTTTATAAGGCATAATTTAATAAAACTATTTTTTTGAGAAAGCTGGGCAGGGCATGATTTAATTGCAGCTTAATCTATGATCTGATGCCACACTATAATGGCAGAAGCGATTATAACCCAATTTCGCAGTGACTAAAATAAAATGAAGTTCAGTTTCTTTAAAGGCTGTAATAAATCATGGTACAGCATTGTCTTATTTTTTTATAATTGAGATGGTGTAAAATACACATGGAGAATCTTGAATATATATGATGGATGGTACAGGTTTTAAAAATGAAGTTTTACCAGCAAATATGAAACATATATTCCCTTATGAAATTAGACTGTAAAATGCATCGTTTTCGAGATACAGAAATTAGAAAAAAGGTAAATTTTCAACTATCTGAAAATGTTCTACGTAAATCAATTTGATGCTAAAGAACTTTTGGCTGTAGCATTTGGCATTAGGCTGTATTCTATTATTTCTATTCCAATTATACCTACTAGTAACAAATAAATCCCATAAATCTTAATTTTGTGGAAAAAATGGTTTTAGCTTTATTCATCGATTTGTTTAACTATATAGTAAACGAATTTTAAAATTAAATATATCAGAACTTTGAAATGGAACAAAATGAAATACATAGGTCCATTTTCTTAAAAATGTTATTGATAATTAAAATCACTAATAGAATTTGTAGAATACTCAGTGGCGTGCAAATTGTGAAGTTCTTGTGGGTACTGACATCCCTTATATCCGTCACAGGTTAATGTGTTTGTAAGTCAACTTATCGAAATTTTATTTCTAATTGGATTAATCAGCGAGCCAAGTTTAATCAGCCTATGTCAAGCATTCTCAGTGATATTTCAGAAAATATGATTTTTTAAATTTTATCACTCTCTAACTCGAAAGCGAAGCCACATTTATATGAAACTTTTTGCTTAAAGTAGTTCAGGTTACAAGTTAGCGAAGTTTCCGAATTAAACCTGAACTATATTCAGAAATGTGTCAAACTATCCAGTTATATGGAGATATCAATAGTTCAAATTCAAATTAAAAGGAACAGAATACGAACAGAATGTCAAGACCACAGACCACTTAGACTGGCCGTATCTAATTCCAATGCACGGGTACCAGTGAATGCCAAATCCGGGGAAGTGGAGTGTGGAAGGCAATCTGATCGCGCGCATCTTTAAGCAGATCCGAATTAAGTAATATTTTTATTACATATTAAACATTATATTGCATCTTATGATAAATATTCAATTTTAAGTTTGTAATTCAGAAAATAGTATATTTTAGTGTCGTATTAAATAAAACTACAAAATAATTTAAATATATTTATTATCCTCTAAATAACATTAATTTATTTAATATTTGCCTTTTCGTAGATTTTACCGAATTAAATAATTTGACTTCATGATTTATTCGTACATCGATATACTTTTCACATTCAGCCCTTACAAGTTCTATTAAATGATTACAATTGTTAGGCAAATTATCAAATTGATGTTCATGCAAATTTTCAAATATGTTCACATTCAGAAAGTTTTTTAATACATGATAAACAATTTTATTTTTCTGTAGCCTAGGTGTTCTGCTTTCATCATTATT